TGCCTGTTCCAGCCCAGGCCAGCGACCTGGAGAAGGTCCACCTGGACGAGAAGGCCTTCCGCTGGCTGCACAACGAGGACCAGATGGCCGTGGAGAAGCTCTCGGACGGCATCCGCAAGTTCGCTGCCGACGCGGTGAAGCTGGAGCGGGTGCTGGCGGTGAGTGCGGGTGGGCGGGCAGAGCTGGCACCTCTAGGGACCCTGGGTGTGCCGCCCGGTCCCCATCGGCGGTGCGGACCCACAGAGGGAGCCTGACCGCCGCTCCTGGCCCCTCCCTCTCCCCCTGTAGGACCGAATGTTCAGCGCGGAGAATGGCAAGTAGCCTGAGGCCGGGCCACAGAGCAGCGCGGGCTTTGGATCTGGGTCTGATTGCACAAGTCCGGCGACGAATCTTTCATTTTTTACTACTTGCAGCAGGGACGGATCATGGGTTTCTGATTTTGTGTAAAATTCTGCCTAATGCATTAAAGCCGGTGTTTTCTGTGCCAAGCTTCATTCCTGACGCCTCGTGCCCCTCGGCACCAGCTGCCCCTGGGCCCAGCCGAGAGGGGGCAGCACTGCCCGCTGCTGCGTGGGGACCCATCTGAGCTCTTCCTGTGCCCAGATCCCTTGATGGGGCCAAGGGCTGTGCTGGGCCCCCTGGGCTGTGCGCATGCCACTACCTGCTGCCTCTTGTGGCTCCGTGAACTGAGGCCCTGACCAGGCGGGCAGGTCAGTGGTGCCACCTGGTGGGGCAGCTCAGCACAGCAGCACTGGCTCATCTAACCTGGGAGGTCCTGGCTGTGCCCTGAACCTGGAGGGGTGGTGCAGCTCTGAGAACACACTAGGGCACTGTTTGGACTTGGGGCACCACGTGCTGTACTGGGAAGGGCCTGGGGCGGTGATGGGTGGAGGGAGGAGGAAGGACCTGCCTCTGTTCCTGGAGGGGAGCCAGGCAGGGCGAGGACTCGGTCCAGGAGCCAGTGCCCAGGGAGCAGGAGCAGGGGGCGTGTCTCCCGTCTGGCCCGTCTGCCGGGGACTGACCTGCAGAGACACTGCTCTGGCGGAGCCAGTGCCCAGGGAGCAGGAGCAGGGGGCGTGTCGCCCGTCTGCCGGGGACTGACCTGTGGAGACACTGCTCTGGAGACACCCAAGGGTCAGCAGGGAGCCGCCTTGCCCTCCCCACCTGGGCTTGCTTTCCCTTTGGGAACCCGACTGGCCACCTTTCCCCACAGCCTTCCCCGGGGACCCCGGGACGGGCCACTGCAAGCCGACGAGGCCGAGTCCCACGTGCTCCAAAGCAGCAGGGCCCGTGGCTGCAGTTCTCAGGGACCAGGGACAGGCCCCCGGGGGCCGTGCCGTCCTGAGTGCCCGGCCTGTCCTGGACAAGCTCAGCTGTCCTGGGTGCTAAGGGGCCTGCTGGGTGGGTGTCCAGCAGTGGTGGCAGGGGCACTGCCCCCACCCGGACCCCACCTCTCCTGGTGCCTCCCAGCCCTGGGGTCCGCATGGACGTCTGACAGGGCGGTTTCAGTACTTGGGGTGTGACCGTCAGCACTCAGCTCAGAAGTCCCCCCAAAACAGCACGTCCATGTGCCCCATTCCTGCCACAACCGAGCCGCTGGGTCAGGATCTTGCACAAAGGGGACCACGCGGCCGTTTCTTCACTCGTTATGTTCTCCCATCCACCAGGTAGGGTGTCCTCAGGACTTCATTGTGTGTTTTTTGAAAAACATTTTTATTGATTTCAGAGAGGAAGGGAGAGGGAGATGGAAACATCACTGATGACAGAATCATTGATCGGCTGCCTCCTGCAGGCCCCACACGGGATTGAGCCCACCTCCCAGGCACGTGCCCGACCGGGAACTGAACCCACTGAGCCACACTGGCTGGGCAGGACTTCATTCTTTCACAGCAAATGTCCACCACATGGCGATCACGCTGCCCTTTAACAAGATGCCACGCATGGGGCCAGTCTGTCCATTCATTCCTGAGAACGCTGCTGCAGATGTCCTGGGCGAGTGGGGAACCCCAGAAGCAAGGACAGGAAGCCAGGCTCCAAACCCGCCCCTGCCCCTCCTGGGCTTTCTGGTTCCTCCTCCCACCCCTCCCGGCCCCAGCTGCAGGGAGCAGAGCCTCAGCCCAGGGGACAGCCCGACCGGAGCAGAGTAGACGTGCCGGTCAGAACCCTCAGCAGGAACGGTCAGCTTTACGGGGACACAGACAATGCCCTTGAGGTGGGTCTGTCAGGGTTTGTGCAGCCACCCGTCACCATGTGGTGGCACCTGGGGATGGGGCCGACGCCAGGCCAAGTCGCCTTCTGGGAAATGCCGACAGGAATGTGGAGTGTGAGCTGGTCCGGGGCCGGGAGGAAGCGCCGGGCCTGGGGGCCGACTTGCTTGTTCCCAGGGGCTGGAAGCAGCAGACGCAGCTCCAGAGGGGACCCCAACCACAGGCCACAGCCCAGCCAGGCACCCGGGGAAGCCTGAGGGTGGTCAGGCTGTGCTGGGAGGGAGGCGTCCGGACAGCCGCCCGGCGTCCCCAGCAGAGGCCTGTCCAGGGCCTCCTTCCAAGGGAGCTCCTGTTTGCTATGTCCACCCTGACACCCTCGGAGCAGCCGCAGGACAGGGCCTGTGCAGAGCTGTCTAAGGAGCCCCTGGGCTGTGCTTGAAGGTCAAAGGTCAACAGTGTTTCCACGTCAGGGATGCGGTGCCATGCCTTCTGCCCTGAGGTCCACCCGGGCCTGACATGGGTCACCACCACACTGAACCCACGCACGAGGCAAAGTTAAAATCGGGGCAAGTCTGGGGGCCTGGAGCTGTGACCACAAGATTGATTCCCCTTCACCTGGGACCCAAGTCAAAAGTGCTGACCAAGCTCCAGCCAGCGGGCCCCTCCCCACTCAGCCAACACCCGGAGGCTGGGGGACAGACCGGCCTGGGCACGGCCCTCACCGCACAGGTACCGACTCCGGCACCCCTGCCTGTCACTGCTGGGCCGGCATGATCATCCTGGCTCCCAGGACGGTCAGCCTCTGCTTCCCGACCTGGGTGCCAGGGACAGGCAGAGGGAGACACCCAGTGCTGGTCCAGGAAGACCAGAGGGGCCACGACCCCACCCTGGAACGCCCCAGCTGATTCTCTGGGTACCAACTCCCTGTGGGCTGCTCCACATGGAACCCGAGCCCCACCGGGTGCCCGTGCAGCACCCTTGGCCTCACACCCGCTAAGACCCGACAACCCTCAGGCTGACGCCTGGAGGCCCCGCAGTCCCAGGGGCCTGGTCGGGTGAAGTCAGCCTCAGGAGCTGTCAGAGGCTCGGGCCCTGGAGGCCTGAGTCCCGCTGCCTCTGGGGCCCTGGGCCTCTGGAGGTGGTGGCATCTCTGGCAGGTAGGCTGGCTCAGCGGGGACCGCGTCACTTCCTGCAGGACGGATACCAGGTCAAGGCTCGGGCGCCAGCAGCAGCCATCACAGGGAACGTGGCCCAGCAGCCCGCACATCGCCCATTGCCCGCGCCCCTCACCGGCTGCCACAGAGGAAGAGCAGGTTCTGCACGGCGGGCACGGTGGAACCCGCGTTCTGGCCCGTGACGAGGTGGCGGTCCAGCACCACGTGCACCGCGTCAGGCTCGCTGGCTGCAGGAGACCCGAGGGCACAGGCCTCAGACAACGCCCCATGCGGGCAGCGCCCAGCCGGGCCCACCCTCCCGGGGCTGTGAGCTCCAGGTCAGCCTGCGGGGTTTCAGAGCCGCCAGCCACCGAGGTCGGCTGGGTGCTCAGCCCCGGGAGGCTGGCCTGGCCCGTGTGCCCCACCGTTGCCTGCAGCACCGCCCAGCTCACCACTGAAGCTGGCGCCTGCGTCCTTCACAAAGTCCTCCACGATGAGAGGCAGGCGGGCAAAGCCAGGGGCCCTGACGAGCTCGTACACGGAGGGCTGCGGGGAAAGGGCACCCGCTGCTCAGGCAGAGCCCATCCAGGCAGGGCCCTGCCCTCCACACGGCGGGGAGCACAGCATTGCTCCAAGGCTGAACCCCGGGGGAGACCCTCCTGCTGTGGGTTTCCAGGGGTGACACACCCTCCCCCAGCATCGAGGCACATGGGAGGCCAGTGGGAGCTGAGCCCTGCAGTGAGTGAAAGGCCTGGAGGTGGAACAGAGCCACGTGGCCTGTGGGGTGGGGGCCGGGCCACAGGAGCACTGAGGAGTCACCCAGGCTCCTCTCCTGTCCGGTCCTCACCTGGACCTGGACCTGGGACCAGACCAGCTGAGTGCAGCCTCCAGCAGCCAGGCCTCAGTCCTCGCCACACGGACCCTCCCTCCTAGATCTGCCCAGGACCTCCCGGCCCGCTCCCGGCCGCCTGTGAATGCTGAGCCGCCCCGGGCGCCCTGGCTCCTGGTCAGGCGCAAAGCAAGCTCAGCCCTAGCCCGCTCCTCCCCACGCCCACAGCCAGCAAAGCAAAGCAAAGCGGGGCTGCAGGGTCGGGCGAGGCAGGGCCTCTCCTCACCCACGGCCTGAACAGGCCTCCGTGATGCCAGCAGACAACAGACAACAGCAAGCCTGGTGCCGTCTGGACAAGTGGTGTCACCCGGCCAGAGGGGACCGTGGGCCCCAGCGTCCCCCCCCTCCCTGTGCTTCAGG